AAAAAAAAAAAAAAAAAGAAAAAAAGAAAAGAGAGAGAAAAAGGAATTTTTTTTATGGCAATAAAATAATTAAAAATTCGGGCGAGAAAACGCGTTACTTTGTTCTTCCCATCGAATACTTCACGGTTTCAGGAGGGCAATGACAAGAAGGACAGTGTTGCACTTGATCTTTTGCTCTTCTCACGCGTCTCCTTACCAAATCTGGCGGTATCTCGGATCGTGGTTGATTGCATTTTAGACAACGTTTCAGATCGTGATACGATTCCACTTGTTTCCGTCGTTCTTCGTGATATCTCTGCGTCGGGCAACATTCTTCAGTGTCCTGGAAAAAGAATTCGTTGTTATAACCTAACTTCCAAGATTCATCGCCGGATCGTTAGATATATATTTTTCCGTGCGGAAATTGATCGATCGAGATCCAGAAAAAGAAAAATAAGTTGGACCTAACCGTTTCTGTATCTTGTCGGTCCATCATCTTGCTGTCAGAATGCTGTCAAAACCTTCCGTGGAATTTGCACCTTCCCACGTCCCGGATAATCCGGATTTCAGTAATATCTAATTGACCTTCGTTCATAATAAATTCTGCTTTTCCATTGAAAAAAATTAGCGAAAGGAAAAAGCGAGAAAGTGTAGAGAGGATAAAGGTTGTTGGTTTCGTATATAGTACGAAAGTCACGGATCAAACGTGTGCTGAAAAAAAAAATTGACTCGCGGTGTTTCTTCGAGAAAGAATTAAACGCCGAGGTAGGCGCTGGAGAATAATAGATAGAAAAAAATTCATTTTTGAATCAATGCGAATAAATATGAAGAAATTTTTAGAGTGGATAAATGTCGAGAAACGTTTCTTTTTTTTTTTTTAAAACAAACCTATATCTCCTACCTTATCACATGTTCGTAATAATATGTCATCGTAGATTACTTGTTACGGATAATTTGAATAAATTATTATTATTATTATTATATCCGTGTACCACTAGATTCCTATTTCGTTACGTTATCGATCTATAAAATGATAAAAATCTCGCGTGCAATGTCTTTTATTTCGATCAATGAAAAAATCCTTGAAAAAGGTATCGAATGAGAAACAATCACGTTTGTTGCGACACTCGCGTGAATATCGTTGAAAAAGGAATTAAGCTACTTGCTATAAAAAAGAACAATGACGAAAAAATCGGTGACAAAAACACTTGAAACGACATTGGAAAAAAGCGAGTATTTCTGCGAGAATGAAATATTGCCGGATCTTCAAGCACGCCGGAGAATCACATCGAGGAAAGAAAAGTCGGCGTATCCAACTATGATTGGCCTGCCATCTATCAATCCAAAATCCGTAGCAGGAAAATATTTCGTGAAATTCGCGAGTTCCGGAACGTTACACGGTTTGAATCATTTGGTCGCGCCAAATAAACATCCCTTTGAGAGGTAAGTATACTTGGACGATATATATATATATATATATTAACAATCATAATGATTTTTAACAAAAGAAATATTCGTTCACAAGATTCTTAATATTGTTTTTCGTTGTCGGAGCTCTGGTGTGTTTAATCGTTTTGTCGAGTATTTTCTGGGATCGTTATCAGAATAACGCCACGGTTATCGTAATGGATAACAATAAAGATTCGTTTAAAATTCCACGGTGGTCTCTATTCGTTTGCATGGCTCAAACTATAGATCCAATGAAAATGACGGATGTGTTTAAAAAGTAAGATCTATTCTCGTGTATAAGATGAAATTTTTTTTAACGTGTTGAATACCTTAGATACGATATTAAAGACACACCAGAGGCGAGAGAGTTCTTCACCTTTCTCGGTACCGTCACTTACGAAAATATGATGGAAATACCTATTTACGACAAAGTACCAGCGAACAAGTGGCTAGAGATTCTTTATGATTTGAAGCAAGATATAGGCTCGAATCTTTTGTCAGAGAAACCTTTTGATCCTTACGAGACTTGGATGGTGACAGAAAAAGGATTGTGTCTCGTGTCAAGAAACGTGTTTGCAATCTATGCTACGTTGAAGTTGGTATTTTTTTTTTTTGTAATAATAACAACAAATAATTCTTCGATCGAATGATTACAAATATAATCTTTTATGCAAGCTATTGGAAAAATGATAATTGGACCACGATTCCTATACCTGATGATCTTCAGAATTACGATACGTCCATCGATACTTTAATAGAAAATTTTAATATACCTTTCGATGCTACGGTGGGAATACAAATGAATGTTTCTATCCATTTTGAAAATCATAGATGATGGTAATATAATTAATTTTTTTCTTTTCTCAGTTCACCGTGTCTGATCCTTTCGAATTGATAACGTACGACATTTCTATGATACGGACACATGCGAAGAAAATTTACAGAAATATGATATTTGCGTCACAGATTCAGACGAAACCGAATGTTCAAGAGCTCTCTATTCGTCAAAGAAAATGTAAATTTTTCGGCGATGGCGGTTTAAAAACATGGCCAGTTTATACAAAAAATATGTGCATCATAGAATGCAGAATGAAAATAATACAAGATAATTGCAATTGCCGTCCCCATTTTGCCAGGCCCATTGGTAAACCACGTTAAAATCAGCATGACGTGATTAAATATAAATGAAAAATTTTTTAATATTTGCAGATGGTGTAAACACGTGCAATGCAACGCAACTTCGTTGCATCGGTAATATAAGAAAGAAGCTTTTTCTATACGAATATCCTTTTTTTTGCAAGTGCATTCCAAACTGTGATATCGTTTCCTATCAAATCAAAAATATCGAAGAGACTAACATGTATTTATTAAATTTAATTTAGGATATTAGGATAAAAAAAAAAATAAGAAATATATAAATAAAATAAATAAAATTTGTTAAAATTGAAATTATTTCAGAGAACAAATGGAAATAAAAACAAACGCAATAACTATGATTACTGAACTTCCACAAATCATTTATTACAGATCACTATTATATGGCTTTACTGATTTATTAAGTATGTATGGAAATATTTTTAAAGTCTAGAATATTTTTTTTTATATATTTTCGTATCTTTATATAAAAAAGTTTATTTCCTAAAAATATGATAATTCAAAGAAGTAAATATAAAACAGGTCAAATTCTATAATTAAAATTAAAATAATAAAAAAATAATTCTAAACTATAGTTCAATATTATATTAGAAATATAAGAATATATGTGTGTATACATTTGTGTTATTTTGATAATTGTTAAAATTAAAAAATTAAAGAAAAAAAAAAGGAAGAATAATATAAAAAAAATTTTTCAAATCTTCCTCAAAATTAAATGATTTACTAAACTAATAAAAGTTTTTATTAATATATATCTTACATTACAGCTAGTATTGGAGGAGCAGCAGGATTATTTCTGGGAGCTAGTGTTTTATCCTTTGTTGAAATATTCTACTATGGTACTGTTCATTTATTTTTCTATATAAAAGAAAATAGATGGAAATCCAAAAAGACAACCAAAATGTCTAATTAATATAGAGAACTTATTTCATTTTTTTCTACTTTATAAGGAAAGGTATCATTCAAAATACATAGACGTGAAATGTTTAAAAAATATTGTTTATCATAAACATGTTATCTCTTTTCAATAGGACACGATGTAAAATAAATATCATCACATACACATATAACTGTACACGCGATAAATCTATGTCGCGTAATGATTGTACATCAATTTACAAAGAGAATTAAGAACATAATTACAACTTCTGAATGAAAACTTCTTGTTTTGATTGATTTTAACTTTCTTATATCAATCAATGATAAAACAATCAATGATAAGACTAGCTAAAAAGACGCTAAAATGTCACTAAACGGAGTTCCAGGTTCTTTTGCTGCTGCTTCAAAAGTTTCCACAAAAGCCTTCTTTTGAGTTTCCTTAGATAACTATTGAAAAAAATATTATTGTTATTAATATCGTAAAATTTATTATTTTAATTATTTTTATTATAAAATTATATATTACCTTACGATAGAAATCAGAAGCAGCAATGCATAATATCTTTTTATCCTCGTATTCGTGTTTTCCTATTCTGGATTGAATATAAGGAAATCTAAATAAAACGTTAAGGAAATTTACGATAAATAAAATTAATTAATGAAAATTTATAAAAAATATAGGAAGGATACAATGCTCTTAACCAATGATTCGTAGATGTACTAATAAAAAAACAAGATAAGCACCACGTCGACATCGTAATTGGCAAACTCTGAATAAAGTTTGGTAAACTAAATACAACCCAGTCTTGGAGAAGTTCCATTTGCGCGCAAGTGCATGCTCTTTCGCAAACCTATAAAGAATTATTTTATTATTTTAAATTGTTCACTATTGTAATTTACAAATATACTTATATAATCGCATGATTATTAATTTATTTTATTACGTTGTTACCCATTGATCATTAATGATACAAACCTTAAATACAACAGCGGAAAGTAATCGTGGGTGAGGTTGTTGCGGCGATAAAAATTCTCCTATAACTTTAGTTAAAATTTCTAAAGGTGGAAAGAAATCAGCAAGCACGCCGGATAAGACTGTACATAAAAGTTCCACTTCCATAGAATGTCCCCTTCTAATTTTATCGAAAATTGCAGAAGTACGTTCTATAGATCGAACTAGTGTTTCCGGTTCAATATCTGGTAATGGTTCCTCTGTTTTTAGTTGATTCAATCTATCGGATGATTCCGTATACATGCAAGTCAATAATAATTGCAAGGCGGGTAACGATAACATAGGACTAGGCTGTTTTAAACGATCGATCGCAACTTTTACTATTTGCTCGGCAACCTTTCCAATCACACTTTTCGTTGCTACGAGTCGTTCGAGTCCCTATATCATATTATGTGAAAACAAAATTATATAAAAAATTAACGTATAAGCGTTTACATGCGTTTAAAAAATTAATATTTACACGAGCACACATTAATATACCTGCAAAAGGGTTTGATGCAAACTATAAGAAATATTTTGCGATGTAAGTAAAGTGAGAACTAATTCTAACACGGCCGGTGCTTCCGTATCTGGTGGAGTATCTTCTGCGTGCTCTAATAAAAAGAACACCAGAGCCCACATCACACCTTGATGCTCTTCGCTTTGACTTAACACACTGAATTAAATAAGCAATTAATTTCGGCAAAAAAAAAAAAAAAAAAAGAAAAAAGTACATATAAATCAGAATATAAAATGATAAAAATTCTTGTCTTACCCGTTCAAATCTTGCGCGTCAAGATGTTTTTGTATATATTCTATCGCTAACGGATGTATAATATTCATCGTCTCCTCGCAATTTGCAAGCACAGCGCTTTGTAACAGGTACAACGAGCCATGAAGGGCGGATACTTTTGCAGGTAAGAAGTTCGATTTGAGATTTGTATCTACTAAACGTTTCACTTTATCCAACGTTTCAAAATCCTTAAAAGCATAATACATAACAATGAAAAAAAAAATAAAATAATAGAAAAATTATATTATGATATGGTCCAAAAAAAAGAAAAAAAAAAAGAAATTTGAAGAATACATACCAATGGTGTTAATACTGCAGCAGCTTTACAAACGGAAATTACTAAATATTGATGTAAAATATCATTCTCTGCAGGATGGATTCTGGAGATTTCCAAACACATGTCCAACATCCATTGATACTGAGCTCTTTCGACGAACAATTCCGAAATTGCTAGAATAGACTTGACAGTCTCCGTAAGCAATTGTATAGGTGTATTAGCTTGCGGAGACATCCAAGATGTATAAAGTTCTATTAAGAAACGAAGACATGAATCTAAATCGAGCGACGCTGACATTAACGCATCGTTCCTCCTATTCTTTAAGTTAAGAACAGAGGCGTTCAATTTGTCTTCATATAAGTTACATAATGACCACAAGTAAGAAACGGAAAGTTGACTATACGTATACTTGCTTAAATTCGCAACCCTTTCCACGTTTCCCCGATGGAAGATGTGGTCCATGTTTAAACCATAGTTAACCTCCAAATCGTTTATACACTCGTATTTCCACGTGAGTAAATCTTGAATTGCGTACAACTTTTGTGAGCTAATTTTATGAACAGAAAGCTGAGGATCCCTCGGATGATGAATCACGGTACTGGCCTTTGGATTGCCTGGATAAGGAAGAAGCAAAGTATGCAACAGCAATTTCGTTATCGCTTGTACAGCCAAGGTGCTCGCTTGAATTAACGTAGGAATTTCTTCTCTTGATACATTTTCATTTTGTGACAAATTGAGCACACCGAGAAGGGCCATCCATATTTCTTCGAATTGTAATCGAGAAATCCAGCCCAACAGATTTATCCTGTAAATAAATTGCTCCAAGATTTCCACCTCCTGAAGAAGATTCGACTCCGAGGGTAATAAAGGAAAGTAACATTTAGTTGGACCGGAACCGACAACGTTCCAATTTTGCTTCCAAACCAATGGTGGAGTTAGAATATAAGAATTTACCAGCGGTTGACGACTAATGCTTACGATTAAATCTTGTATCGTGTCGAACATATATCGTGGAATATTTGTCGACGATGATTGTTCGTTTTGACATCGTTCCAACCAAGCGATGAGGTTAGCCATCCGTGTGCAAGCATGGGCGAAATCTTTAGTATCCTCATCTTCCAACGCTGGATCTAAAGCACGTGTATCTATAACTGGTAAGGCGTCGAGTGTTGTTAGCAAATATTCTACTATCCTTGTTAATGAAGCAGCACCGCTACAAACCCACGAGTACCTTGTGTTTTCCCCGAAAACTTTGTTAGGGCCAGGATGTTTTAAAATCTCAGATGCGCAACTCAACGCGAGCTCCATATTCCTTGGTTTCAATTTTTTCACCTTTTTCTCGTCACAATGTACCATCCAGTACGTTAATTCCAGGCATAGAACTGCAAATTTGGCTAAATCTTCTTCAGATTTTTTATCGATTTTCGCTAAATTATATTTGGCTAATTTTGATAATGTTTTCATATATATCTTTATAGCTGGTATTAACATAAAAAGTACGTCCCAATATACCGACTCATTTAGAAGTTCGTTCAATCGAATCGCGTACTTCAACTCTCTTGAATTGTTATTCGATTGTGTTGGATTGTAAATATAATGCGGTTTAGGCATTAAATCGATGACGTAATGGATATGATCCAATAAGCATTGTTTGGCGGCACTATACAATGGACTAGTTTCAAAATTAAAATCTTTCTCGTTTTGTGCTACACCGAATTCTAATTTTTGGCACTTCTCTACACTCATTCGTACGCCTAATATTATGCATGGCTTCAATATCGCAATATTGAACTCTTTGGAAGACAAAATACCAATGCAATCTTCAAAATCCAAAACTTTTAATAATTGCGCTGCTTCTGACAGATTATAATTAGTATTTGAATTACAACATCGTAATTTTACCTGTGACAAAAACCAATTACGATCCAATTGAATACTTTTCACGGTGGAGGGATTAAACGGTCTACATTGATCAAGTTCCAGAGGGGATAAATCGTAGTATTGTACTCCTAATTTGTTTAATAAACTGACTAGTCCGCCATGTTTCTTCGCAAGCTTGGTCATTTGAAGTGTCTCCATAATTTTGGTAAAATCATCTTTCGATAATTGTTTCATCACATCCGCTGCGGGCGTAGTCAATAAAATTTCTACTCTTCGACTAGCTATTTTCGCTGCCATCCTTGACAATGCAAGATATTTAGTCGATAATAATCTCGGTATCAATGTCATTAAAACTGCTCCACTCTGAGAATGATGAGCACCTTCTATACATTGTAAAAGTCGTTTTACGAAACTAGGTGGTGACAAATCTGTGCATTTGGTTGCAATTGCTTGTACTAATAATCCACTAGCTGCAGGATTTCTATGTATAGCTGTTGTTAATAGATCTCTGACAGGTGATTCAATAGCGTTATTCACTGTCTCCTCTGTATGATTAACTAATAACCATGTCAGAGGCTCTGCATCGCACAAAGTTTCACACACATAATCGCAAAACAATATAATACCACCTTTTCTAATGATCTGAATATTAATGCTACTGTCATAGTTTATATTTTTTTCTTCACTTGGAGGGCAATGTACGACGTATTCCGCTCGGCGGGTGCCCAATATCTTCGACCAAAAGGTCATTTCGTTATAGCCTAATAAAGTCATTAAATAAGCCCATTGACAAGTTAATGTTGGACATTTGTTTCCAATGTTTAACATCAAAAAGTTTAGATCAGCAATTGGTAGCTTTTCCTCTTCAAGAACGTTTCGGCCTTGGATCATTTGTATTACAGCATTTGCAACTTTACAATGACTTCCAGACTCGAACATATGAATACATAATTGAAGGAAGAATGCGAATTGATGGATTAAATAATAATCATTTTCTATTGATTCCGAAAATGCAACATATGGATCATTAAGATTAGGATTTAACAATCCAAGAAGATTATAAACTTTGGAACCCACTAAGTTAATAACATT